ACGTCTATTTCTCCTTGTCGACAATATCGAAACCATTCGATGGTGTCATCTTACATTTGTTGCACAAATTCATCTTCGTCAATTTCGCCTTCATCATCGGAGCAGGGCATGATGCCACAATGAAGAGTTTGCCGTGCCATTCCCCTTCGTAACTAGATGATAATGCTCAAAGCTTTTTCACTACGAAAGAGCAAGAAGAGGAAACCTGCTCCCAACTATTTTTTAACTTACTTCTTTTAAGATATTGGCTGAAGGTTTCGTTATACAGACCATGCTACGTACGTTATGGCAACATAAATTCATGACAAACTGGACCCAGTATGCCTAAAAACCAAAGAATTGATAGTAGGGATAGTAAGGAGTCTTGTAGGCCATAATGACTCTACAAAGATTCTTTGGAATAATCCACTATCCTACAGATGTTAGTCCGCATTCATCCAATCGAATTTTTGAAAATTTGGCCATGCAATCTATTTGTACAGATATGTTGCAGAACATATATTTCACTAGGGGAAAAAAGTACAAAATGTCAAATCAGCCTCCCTACACGTTATGGAAAATAAAGCAAGAACAAACATGGAAAATCCTCGAACAAGATATGGAAAATAAATATAGTACAACACGTCCATTTCGGAGACTTTTCAAATACACGGGCCATACTGTGATTTGCACCTAACAGTCGTCATTCAGCAAGAACAAACATGGAAAATCCTGGAACAAGATATGGAAAATAAATATAGTACAACACGTCCATTTCGGAGACTTTTCAAATACACGGGCCATACTGTGTTTTGCACCTAACAGTCGTCATTCCGATATCTCTTCATATCATCTTTCCAACACCACTCAACCCAGTCCATTTTTTCATCGGCGTCATCCTGCGCATCAACAGTCTCTCTATTAGCCCTTCTGCTCAGGAACTTGCAAGTCCAATAGTACAACTCAGTTTTTTTATGCAGTCTGCCCGTCGCCAACAACTCATCCAAAATTGTCTTCACAGGAGTCACAGCAGGACCAACCAAATTCTCGATTTTTTCGGCTACTTCACGACTGGCAGAGGCGGCGCGGTCAACAGAGTACGACACATCTCTCGCTCCTTTTTTTGCTCTCTTCTCCATTGTGTTCCTGCTTCCAGATCGCCGCTTGTCTCCACTTCGCGCCCGTGAGACGTCCATGCTGGTTCCTGCACGACCATCTTCGTCGGCCCCATCACTAGATCTGTTCCTCTCCTCGCCGTCCGGATGAGCATCGCGCAGGTCTTCGTAACCACTATCCTCAAACATCGCGAATCCTGTACGGCACATCTGGGACGGTGTGACCGCATACTTGTCACTGTCGAATGCGTCCCCGAACAACACGTTGTAGCTGTATACCTCTCTACAGTCTTTGTCTCTGAATTCTCTGTACTCCTTGTTCTCCTGTTCAAAATGCAAAAGAGGAAAAAAATGGTGTGACGCGTGCACCACAACTTCCAGGCCATTCGATTAAATCTAACATCGCGAATCCTGTACGGCACTTCTGGGACTGTGTGACCGCATACTTGTCACTGTAGATTGCGGCCCCGAACAACACGTTGTAGCTGTATACCTCTCTACAGTCTTTGTCTCTGAATTCTCTGTACTCCTTGTTCTCCTGTTCAAAATGCAAAAGAGGAAAAAAATGGTGTGAAGCGTACACCACAATTTCCAGGCCATTCGATTAACAAAAACCAAGAAACCCACCATTGAGAAAAATATATTATTTTCTCCCATATTATGAGCATATATGTAGTGGTAAATAGTTAATACGATTAACATAGCATTACATGGTATGGTTGGATAAAATTGTAATGGTAGAGAAGAAAAACAAGAAAAATAGTTCTTTTGAAGTTGTAAACTTTTTCAACATCACAACATTGACCAAACATAAGTAGATGCAGCAAAGTAAATGGAGAATGAGCCATTGAAGGAAACAAATTCATAGCACAAAAACAAATAACTTTTTTGAACTGAAACTGAACCAAAAAGAATTTCTTTAGATACTGTACTTTTGGGATATCAACGTATATGTGAGAATGGAAACTTGGAGCTAAATTTATTTTCTGCGTTTTCCTGTGCAATTACTCTTCATGTTAGAAATTGGGTTCATTCCTTTTTCTTTTATTTAGCAGGAGAAGAGATTTTTTTAAATTGTTATGTACAGCGGAAAGGGTGATACATAAATTACATTTCGCAAGAGCTGGAAAGGGGAAGGAACGCATATTTGATATTTGGAGGAATAATTGGTGAAGAGGGTCAATTATGGAAATGGATTATCCGAATCTAGTGAAATCTGTTATCTATTTTGATTTTGAATATCCAGTATGCAATTAGCAACATAAGCAAATTAAAGCTGCTAACATAAGTACTTGAAGGCCAAGACTGAGATTGATGAAAACACTTCTTCCTGTTAATTAATCAAACTATTTGTTTTGAAAGGTTAAATAAAGGGGAATGTATGGCAGTGGACATGTAAGCATTGTTCCAAACCATTCCTATCAGATGCAAGAGGTTTGGAAGTCATCTAGTGAAGCATCCGACTGATTTATTCATTTCAATGCACATACATACCTTTACATTGTCATCCAAATATAATCTACATTCTTCAATGCCATATAATTGTGGAAAGATGAATCAACATGAAGCAGTGAATATAAATGGTAAAATGCACGTGGCCAAACAATAATAAGCAAATTGTCCATTTCTGAGAACTCAATACATGGTGAATAATATCCCTTATACTTTCAAATGTCGTGATTTCAATGGAAATGCACTCAATACACATTCTGCCCTATCTTTAAAACGCCAATTTGAGGACTCTGCATAATAATATCTGCCCTCCACTCATTGCAAGAAATGCGAAAAACCAATTAGAAAAGTAGGTGCACGAAAAAATTCCAGTTACCTTCATCTTTCTCTCCCACCAGTCGTTGGAGGCAGCAATTATTCCCGTTGCGGAGTTATACTCGACACCAGTGCAATTCAACAGCTCCGTGAGCCTTTTATGCTTTTGACGGAGAGAATCCCAATGATTCTTCAATTGTTGCTTGGTCCAGACGTGCCCAGAGTTGGTGTTGAAGAAGTGGATCAGTTGGTCCCAGCCATGTTTCGTGAAGCACTTTCCGTTACGGTGACCGTTGGCTATCACCATCTCGCAAGCGGCAACGAAAATGTGGTTATCGTGTTTGATCCAAATGGCGTTTTTCCGGGCAGGGGCTTAGCTTTGGCTTGGAGGAGGGTTGGAGGTGGACGACGAACCATTGTAACCCATCTGAGATCAGAAGCCACAAAACATCAATTTGCAATAAAAAAATTGGGAACTGACAGTGGTTCGATAATCAGCCAAAATGGGAAAATCAGTTTGCAAAAAAAATAAAATCTACCCTTACCCCAGAAAATCGTGGATCCATTTTGTGTGCGGTTTTGACTCTACAAGAACACTTCTCTGTGTCGTCCGGATGCTATTTTAACGTTCGTGGACCACTTATTCTGCATATTCGGAGAGAAGACCGAATCTGGGAGCAGAGGTTGGAGATAAAATTTTCTTGACGGAAGGGGTCACATAAATTGGTGAATTAGATCTGGGAGGGAGAAGAAGCCTTCGGTTGTGCCTTATCGAAAACTTTCGGCAGGAAGGATTGAAAGAACAAACATGGCTGGAAGGGGAAGTCGTTGGGGCCAGGGGGAGAAGAAAGAAATGGGTTGGTGAGGCGAGAAATGAGGAGGGCAAATTGGGGATCCTGCTGTCTTTTTGCCTGACTTGGTGCACAGTAGTTGTCAGAATTGGTTGAATAAAAAAATGATCAACGGTCCAAAAAATGCTATCTAACGGTCGGAATTGTAATAGAAATTGCCTCCAGACACACGCCTATTTCGGACCTTCATCTTTGACAGTAATATAATTCGATTTCTCAACTATCAATGACATCAATTTTAGTCCTTCAACTTTATGAAACATAAACTATGATCCTGCAACTATAACAACCGTAAAAAATCGATACTCTAGGTATTTGAAACATCTATCATGATCCTTCATTTATTACAATCATCACATTCGGTCCTTAATCTATTTGAAACCTCAAATTTGATCCTTCAACTAATTGAGACATGAAATTTGATACTTGAATTATTAGTTACATCAATTTTGATCCTTTTATCAATCATCTAATTCGATCCCTCATTTGTTTTGACATTCATTCTAGTCCTTCATCTATTTTAAACATCAAATTTGATCCATCAACTATAACAACTATCAAAATTGGCCCTTCTACTTTTAGTAAACATCCATTTCAGTCCTTCGTCTATTTGAAACATTTAATTCGACCCTTTAACTATGTGAAATGACGAATTCTTCATTCAACCATTAGAACAATCGAACATCCTTAAACAATTTTTTATTTCCTGGACCAAGTCGATTGGTGTTTCGTGTGTTTGATCCACATTATTTTGGAAGAATGTATTCTGGAATAGTAGATTGATGGAGAATTTGTGGTTGAAGAAGAATGAAAAGTTATTGATGTGATGGAAAATATTATTTTATTAAAAATATGTGGTTGAAAATTAGTAGAAGAATGAGAATGAAAATTTTAATGTGTACCAAACAGGAGCTATATTTTTCTTCAATTGGTTCGCAAATTAACGAATAATTGTGGTGTATTTACAGAAAAAAAATGTTTTAAAAATGGGGGTGAGTATAATGTGGTGTAAAACAAGAAAATTGTGAATCGCCACCGTTGTCCGTTGATCATCCACCCTTATAACAGAAGAAAGCAAAAAACCCAAAAAAAAAAAAAATAATTTATTCTTCTCTATTATTTCTACTGTTTGGTTCTACTCGAAATCCTAATTCACGTTGCTAGTATCCATTTTCTTGTTTTTAATTCAACTGTTAAACCTATTAAATCTAGATTTGCTGTTCAATTTTACCCCAAAGATTACATATTTGGAATTGTGATTAGGGTTTTATTTTGATGCCCAAAGATAATGATGTTTACTCCCCAGAAGCATCAGTGGCCGGGATTATCAATCACTCCGAGGAGTGAAGCCGCGCCAGCGCAGGAGAGGAGCAACCCGAACCCTACTGGGAAGGGGAAGGCCGTGGCGTATATTGATGGCCCTGCAGCGCCACCCCGGCCCTTGGGGCTCTTGAGTGAGAGTGGAGATATAACCAGGGTGAATGATTTGGAAAATATGGAGGATTGGAGGAGATTTCGTGAGGCGGGGTTCTTGGATGAGATGGCTTTGGAGAGGCGCGACCGCGAGGCATTGCTAGAGAGGATTGCACGGGTAGAAAAAGAGGTTAGAAGGAAAAAGAAATATGATAATTGGAATTTTATATGTTAATTGTTTTTCAGTTTTTTCAGATTCTTATCTTTTTTTATGTGTATAAATTCAAATATTGGATTTCTTTAGAATAATAATGGCACATAATTTTGCGTTTTGGGTAGTAAAGTGGAAATCGTGAAAATATTACCAACTAAATGATCACTTTTTGGTTGTTTTAAAGTAGTATTTAATAGTGATATTTGTGTTGATAGGAGAATATAAAGACACTTTGGGGCTTTTGTCACTCACTATGATAATTATGCAGCTGCTACCGATAATATCGACAAAATGCTTATGGTGTCTAGGTAGGTCTAGATGTCCTTTTGTTAATCCAGCCACCACCACGGAAAAAGTGAAGCCATACTACCTACCTCTTTGATTTAAGCCACTTGACGATTCTCAAGTTTTAACAGATTATCCATGGATTTCTGTGTTTTCCAGCACATTGTGCAGGCCCTGCATCTAGCTGGTGATAAAACCATCAGTTTGCATGGTGTTTTTAACCATTAATGATGCAACTCCTGCTGAACAAACGAGTGCCAACTGCCAAATATTAGTGCTATCACTTTCGTTGTAGATTAATCTGTTATCGGGTGGAATTATTGCATTGAATTTAATTTGTTGGGCGAGGGGAAGGATCTATGTTTCCTAGGAAACCAGACACAATTTTTTAAATGGTAAATAATACACGTACCATACTATATTAGTTTGCTAAATATAGTGAAATTTTAATTGTGTTTTGAGTGGTATATTTATACCTATTAATTTTGTTTGTGGAGATAGTATAAGCTCTAAAATTTTCCTCCATCATTAATGGACATCTTCACTGTTCTTTCTTGCACATATTTGTCAGAATTTTGGAAGAATATGTCACCATATGCTTATCTATCGTAACATTGCTCTCCAGAGCTGACAACCTTAGCAACTTTAGCGGAACTTAATTTGATGTTCTACTCATATAATAATTGACGTGGCTTAGTTACCCTGTCTAATTGTTGGCTGTTCTTTATGTGCATTTTGGCTTTTCATTTGCCTGTCAAAAACCTCACAACTTGTGAAATTATCTTTAGGTTGAAAATGGTGTACTCTGGATAATTGTGAATTCGGTTTAGTAACTTGCGTAACTCGTGTTTATGAATATTATTTTGAAATATTGATATCCCATGGGATTGTAAATGGCCATCTGAACTGATTGTAAACAAATTTTGACTCTCCTCACATAGTTCTCTACTTGTGATCTATTTAACAGTTGTGTGCTTCCTTGATTTAGCCATTTTTCAAGCATGTTTTGGTTTCATGGAAATGTGGAATACAGTTTGTGGTTTAAATCATGGTGAAAATTGCAAACCATTGGGAATGCATTCCCATCTAATGCTTGTAACAAATTGCAACTTGCAGCAATTATGAAACCCTGCCATCTTAGGGTTTCATGAATAGGCAGGAAATTTATGGACTCGGTACTTTAAGCTGAGAATATCTCTGACATCTCGAATTCACGAGCCATACGGTCAAGATTCAACCTCTTCTAATTCATTTGTTTTGTAGTGGAGCATTTAGTTGCTCAAGATTGGCTTGTTCAATCAGGAGATGATTTGTGAAAAGTCCCAAATAAGTGGTATTAGGAGCTATGTATGAATGAATTTGTTATAACCTATGCTTAATATAATTATTTGTGGTGTTTAGTTTAAAATATAGTAAAATATAACTGATCTATTCCCAAATGAAAAATGAGATGATGTATGCCATGGGGCCAACAAAGCATTTCTATAAATCAAAATTTTAATTTGACTTTCAGTTTTTGTGTTTTGGGAAAAAAGATATATCATATTTCAATTTTTGGTTGTCAATATGGATAATGATTCTTAGTTAGAAGTAAAAATAATAAAAATGAGTCTTCATATGTCAATTTTAGTGCATTTTTAACTTAGGATGCGAGACTTGCTCCTAAAATATCGTGATTGTTTATCTGGACAGCTGTTCGACTATCAATATAATATGGGGCTGCTATTGATTGAGAAAAAGGAGTGGGCTTCAAAGCAAGAAGAACTTAGAGAAGCACTTGTAGAAACCCAGGAAGTTCTAAAGCGTGAGAAAACATCTCATTTAATTGCAATTGCAGAAGTGGAGACGCGAGAGGAGAACCTTAGAAAAGCTTTGGATGTTGAGAGGCAATATGTGGCTGATGTAAGATATTTCTTCTGCCTGGCCTCCTTTTCCATCTTTTGAAGTATACCAGTTGTTTATTTGTTATTTAATTGGATCTTTTCAAGAGATGCTTTAGACCATCGGGTTATAGTATGCATTATATTTCTGTCTTTTAACTATCAGATTGGTTGGTATCCGTTTTCATGTCTTGTATTATGGCTATTGTTACATCTCATCTACAGTGTATTGGCTTTAATTGCAATTTAATGATTTATTTTTAGCATTTTTTTGAGCTACCTAGTACCTAGGGGATACTGCAATTGATCATTATATCTTCATAGAAATTAAGTCCTCTGTGATTTAATTTAAGTAGCCATTTCTTGGACTTCTCACCAAGCTTCTCATGTAGCCAAGCTTATGTTATTGACATTTAAGCTTTTGGATTTGGGTTGTGCATCAGTGATCTTGTTTGTTTGAGGGACAATAGTTTTGCGTAGAGCGTTTATAACCGATGGCTTGCTTACTCTGAAGTCGGAAATGCAAAGAATGTGCTTATTAATATACACTTCCTATATTACTATTTGTTTCTCTTTTTTCATTACAGATTAATCTACCTTATTTGAGGATAATAGGTGACCTTTTTTCAGCAGGATCTTTGTTCTTATTTGCTTTGATGCCGTGAGTTGTGTCATTGCATTATGACTCCTAGGTGGATGACCTTTGAAAATTCTGGTCCTGAACCTTCCAAGTATAGTAACAACAAGCTAGGCTACCAATTAGAAGAGAATAATTAAGTTACACAATAATAATATGTACATGTTTGAAGTTGGATATATGCCTATTTTGGGATAGCTTTTGCTTCTGCTTCTCCTTTTGCTTTTGGTAGAAGAGCTTCCCGATGAAGTGAAGCTTTTGGTAGAAGAGCTTCCCGATGAAGTGAAGCATTTCAGATGCGTCCAAAAGTAGCTTGTTAGTCTCAAAGTTATTTTTGACTTTTCAAAAGCCATGCCAAATGGGCTCAATCTTTGCCCAAAAAGCAATAGAATCTTCTTTTATTGCAGAATTGATTGTTGGATATATTCAAATATCTTTTTAATGGTGTTGTAGGTTAAGATATTATGCTCATTCTCGAAAACACATTTTTCTCAAACTTATTTTCAACATATATTCGTCCAATAAAATAATTTTGCATGTAAACCCAAAACTTTTCCCAACTTTTTAATTACACATTCTTCAAAAACATCACTATTACAAGATCTATTTTTTCAAAAAATGGGGCTATATATTGAATGAGTGCTTATGTGAAGTTACATCATGATACTTGTGTGACAATGTTTATAAATTTGCAGTACTATAGTTATTTCCCCAATTTAATTCGTGGATACATAACAAAGTAGGTAAAATATATTAATTGTGTAAGAGGTAAATTGAATTCCTATGCATATGTAATATCATCAATTAGACAGTTGGGTGAAGTCGCATTTTTTTAATAGTAGCAGGTTAAGATGTTATGTTTTGATACTTGTGACATTATGTTTTTAAATTTGAAGTAATATATTTCTCTGCTTATTTTAACTCATGAATAGACTTAACAAAGGAATTTAAAGATATGAAATATCAAATACTAACTTTTTAAGTTCTTCTGCACGTGTTTCAATCAATTTACCATTGGCAGTGGCTTGGTTATGCCGTCTTTCTTATTTTTCTGGTGTCTGTTCTTTGTGCTCTGCTAATGACCTATTTAACACTTTCCGTATCCAGCTTGAGAAGGGCTTACGTGAAGCACGCGTGAAGTACGAAGAGATCAAGCTTGCAGCTGAAACTAAGCTTGCCGATGCCCATGCTTCGATAGCTAGTGTTCATGATAAGTCTCTGGAAGTGCAAGGAATGTTGCTGGCTGCTGATGCAAAGCTTGCTGAGTCAAGTCGAAAGAGTTTGGAAATGGAGAGGAAATTGCAGGAGGTTGAGTCTCGTGAAAGTGCAGTTAGAAGGGAGCGAAAATCATTTAATGCTGAGTATGATTAAAGCAGAAAATTAAATTATTTTTTATCTGGTGATTTATCATTTAGTTACATTTTTGCTTTCTGATATGTTATCAGGAGGGAAGCACACGAGGCAACTCTTTTGAAGCATAAAGAAGATTTAAGAGAGTGGGAAAGGAAGCTGCAAGAAGGAGAAGAGAGACTTTGTCATGGTCGTAGGATGATTAATGAGAGAGAGGAAAAAGCAAATGAAGTCGATCGGATGCTTAAGAAAAAAGAAAGGGAACTTGAAGAAGAACAGGAAAAGGTCGACTTGATTAATTCAACTTTGAAGCAGAAAGAGGATGATATTAACGAAAGGCTTGCAAACCTAAATGTGAAAGAGGCAGTGAGTTTCTGATCTATCTCCATATTCTGGGATTTAACGAGGTCAGTTTTGTGGTCTGTGTATCAATATCATTTTTGATTTGTTTGCAGAAAGCTGAGTGTCTGAGAACTGATCTACAGATGAAGGAGAAAGAATTGATTAGTCTGACTGAGAAGCTGAGCGCCAGAGAGAGAGTATGTTGCAGGACCTTAGTCTATGTGTAGCCTGATGCTTTTTTGTCATTTTATGATATTTTGCCTACACATTTGCAATTCATTCTCTTTCATGTATGTTTGTGGGAAATAACTGCTCTCTGATGTTCTCTTTCATTGATATTCTGTTAGAATTTTTTGGTCGATAAAGTTTTACCTGCGGACTTGTTGTATCAATTTTTAATATTGGTCGACTTGGTCCGTGTCTTATGATTAGTGCTCCTTTTAGTATCCTTACAAAAAATTAGTTTGTGTCTAGAAATTACCTTCTCAATGAGTAAATCTTAGCGATGAATTGAATTAGACTGAAAACTGAGAATATCTTCATTCGATAGTAATTGTGAATTTAGATGAGTTTTCTGCTATCAATATTTATGACTTAGTTGTTAATTGCCTTTGAAGCAAGCTTGACATAGCATGTTCCTTACTTTTAATCAAAAGTATAAAAGGAACTGACTGCTTAAAATTTGCAGTAAAAGATTTCGTTTTATTATACTTCTGGAAGACGTTTAGCTCTTAACATGAAAAATACAATTTTCATATTCAAGTGTGGTGGCCGGGGGAATTGTGATGTCTAAGATGTGTGAATATGCAGTCTGTAGAATATTGGGTAGTCCAACCTAATGCAACTCTTGCTGGAATTTGACCAAATATGAGATGGAAACTGCATTTTAAATAGATATATGTTTACTTAAAGGGTCCAACTTTTAAGCACAATTTGTAAAGTGACCTTATATGAACTTTTAATAAATAACCTTATTTTCAAAATCTCGAAATACCCTTTATTTATGTTCATCCCCTTTATACAAGAATTGTTGTTTTCGCTTGCATGGTTAGATAATGGGGAGCACCATTTTTCTAATGACTTGGTATTAGCAGAGTCTTTATAATTGGTTATGCTAGCATTTTTGAACACTAAATCTAGGATTCCAAACAACTTCTCTTTCCGTGCTTGAAACTTATTGTGGATACAGATAAGAATTATAAAAGTTAATAAATGTGAAGATTAATAGCATTTTTCTTTGGTTAATAGTTTTTGAATTCATAAGTGCTCTACTTAACAAAGAATGTTTCTCTACCATTATGCCGATTCTTCATTTTTAAATTTTCACATAAATTGATGGGGTTATCTAGCAAAGCCTCCTTCTGGCACACCACCTTCAATCTGAGTACTGAATTGCCTCTGTTTTTGTTCTGCTAACTGTTTCATGTGTGAGGTTTGAATGCTCAGTTTCAAATTTAATTTAACTTGATAGAAACTAACGGCTTAAATATCTTTTGCAGGTGGAAATCCAAAAGATTCTCGATGAACATCGGCATGCTTTGGATTCAAAAAAGCAGGAGTTTGAGTGGGAAATGGAAGAGAAAAGGAAGTTGTTTGAGGAAGAGAAGAAAATTAAATTCAATAACTTAGTGTTGAAGGAAAACGATATCAACTATATCGAGGAAAAACTGAGAAAACAGGAGCAGATGTTAGAAAAGAAGTCAGACAGGTTGAAGGAAAAAGAAAAGGAGTTTGAAGGAAAGTCGAAAGGTGTGAAGGAAAAGGAGAGGTCTGTCAAAAAGGAGGAGAATACTCTGGAATTGCTAAAGGAAGAAGCTTTTTCTGAAAAGAAAAGTTTGCAGCTCCTCAAAGATGAGCTTGAGAAGATGAGGGCTGAAATTAATCTCAAGGAATTGCAGATTCGTGAAGAAACTGAAAAGCTTAAAATCACTGAGACTGAGCGGAAGGAGTATAGCCATTTACAAATGGAGTTGAAACTGGAGATAGAGAGGTGCAGTCATGAGAAGGATTTGCTATTTAAAGAAGCTGAGGATTTGAAACAGGATAAAAGCAAATTTGAAGAGGAATGGGAGGCTTTGGATGAAAAGAGAGCTGAGGTTACTAGAGAATTGCAACAAACCCAAGAACAGAAAGTGATGCTTGAAAAATTGAAACGTGCTGAAGAAAAGCAATTAAAAGAAAATAAACTTGCCACTGAAAGTTATATTAGGAGAGAGTTGGAGGCACTTAGGCTAGAGAAAGAATCATTTGCTGCCACAATGAGGCATGAGCAATTAACATTGTCTGAAAAAACTCAAAGTGAACACGATCAATTAATTCATGATTTTGAAACTCGAAGAGCGGATCTAGAGGCTGATATGCTAAATAAGAAAGTGGAAATAGAGAAAAATCTAGAGGGAAGAGAGAGAGCATTCAAGGAACAGAGAGAAAAAGAATTTGGTAATATAAGTTACTTAAAAGACGTTACCCAGAAGGACATGGAAGAAATAAAGTCTGAGAGGCACAGATTGGACAAGGACAAGCTGGACATTGCCTTGAACAAGAAGCAGCTGGAAGAACAACAACTTGAAATGCAAAAGGACATTGAGGAACTTGGTGTTCTAAGCCAGAAGCTTAAGGTGCAGAGGCAAAAATTTATTAAGGAGAGAAGCCAGTTTCTTGCATTGGCTGAGACACTTGAGAGTTGCCAAAACTGTGGGGAGATTGCAAGGGCATATATGTTATCTCATCTTCATTTGACTGAACTTGATGACAAGGAGGCCCCACTTCAGGCACTGGGAGAGGAGCTTTTGGAGAAGGTCGCTTCGTATGGAGCCAACTTTAAGAAATCACCTGGTGAGAATGATCAACGATCTTCAGGATCTGGAGGTCGTATCTCTTGGCTGCTCCGAAAGTGCACGCCTAGGATCTTTAACTCATCTCCGGACAAGAAACTCCAGCACATGGCTCCTCAAAACTTCGAACGAGCCTTGGATGATACACTGATAAGTGCAGCAGAAGAGGCCGAAGGTCCCAGCATGCAGATTGACACTGAAGCACGAGGATATAGTATCCCTGAAGAAGATAAAAGAGAACAAGAACTGCCAGAAGATTCCCAACAATCACAGCCGAGAAGTCACCGTCACAAACCTGCTGAACAATCAAGAGAAGGAATCTGTAGAACACGTTCTGTGAAGGCAGTGGTTGAAGATACTGCAGTTATCTTAGGAAAGAAATCAGAAGTAGAGGTGAATGAGGAGGAAACTAATGATTCTTCTTCTTATATTAATGAGGAAATCCGTGCTGAGAAAGCAACTGGTACAAGAAAGCGAACTCGTGCACAAAGTTCTAAAATGACAGAGACTGACCTGGAGGCTGATTATAGTGAAGTACAATCTGAAAGTGTCATGGCAGATGGCATCAAGAAGAGGCGTCAAACAGGTGCTCCAGCTGTGCAAAATCCTGGCAAGAAGCGTTACAATCTACGGCAACGGCAACGCAAGACGTAAGTCTATATGATCCAATTTTTTATGCAACTAGACAATACTGAATAGTAAGGAAGGGGGAATAATCTAAGTAATAAAGTGAATAAGTTTACCTTTTCTCCTCTCTTAAAAACATTTTTTTTGACAACCTCTTGAACACTATTAATTCTTCTTTTCTATCTCTATCTCCTGTTTTAATTCTTGCCATTTTCTTCTTCTTACCTTTTCCCGTGATATGCTTTGTGTGCTTCTGATGTGTCCAGTAAACATGCTGATAATCTGCTCCAGGAACAATATAGAAAGCTGAGTAAATCAATTAATTCAACATTAGAATGCAGAACCTGTAGAGGAAAACAGATTGTAAAGGAAGAAAGAATTCTGTATTGCTAATCTGTGAGAACAACAATTTGAAGAAATGGAAATAACAGTAAGGAAGGCAGGTTTCGAGACCTGCCCTTCTCCAAACGAATAACCTACAGTTAAAATGGAAATGATGATATAAACTTTGGTCTCTGATTTCCAAGATAAGATGCTAGAATCAAATGTGATTTATAATTTGATACTTTGCTCATGATTAAACTTGAATACACAAGGTTCTGTTTGAGTCCACTTCTACATTAGCATACTTGTTCTAATTAAACAGCATTGATAAAATGCCAGCCTTTCGTAGGTAAGGTACATTGAGAAACCATTTGTCTGTATTTTTTTGGTGAACATTTTGATTAAGAGAAGTGCTTTTGCATACCTTTTTCCTTTATATTTGAACGTCCTCTCTCTTTCTCTCTCACACACACACACTCTCTCTCTCTCTCTCACACTCACATGCACACAAGAGTGGTCATTGCTTGGAATTCTCCTTCAGTACTATTTAGCATTGCGTTGACTATTTTATTGCAAAGTGTACTTGATACGTGACATTTATGGTACCGGAAGTAGTGCACTTGCATTGCTCATACGTTTTTGTTCTAAAATGGAATTCATGTGTTAGAAGAACAAAAGAGAGAGAATGCTGATAGAATAAAAGATATAGTTGCACTCTAAAGTCTAACCCTTTTATTGATTCAAGCAATGAAACATTAAAATTTTTTTTTTGTATTTTTGTATAATATTTATACCATATATGGAAAGATCATATTATTATAATTTTTGTACGGTCTCCTTTATTATTTTGCAATAAATTTTAGGAAATATCCATATTTACTAATATGCTCAAGATTTTTTACCATCTAAACTTTGACTCTAACTGTGCAGATTTATTATTTTGTAATAAAATGGTGATAACTCATGTTTAACATTACATTCAGACGTGCTTTACCATCTAAACTTTAATCTTTACCAGAATACTTCTTTTAATGATTATACCTTGTGACTTGTTTTCATTTCGTTTAATGACTTAAAATCCTTCTTCTGAGTCAATTTTATGGAAAGAACTTTCATTTAGTAAATAATTTGATCTACAATTTTCTGATGCAGAATTTTTTAAAGGTTTATTTTATAATTTGACTAGGATTTGAGAATTAGAATATATCCATGTTCAGATGTTATGCTGTAAACAACAGAGCCTAGGTTGCCAAGCCTACCTCCGGATAAGCGGATTCTCAAATCCTAAAAGCATATCTTCAATTTAATAGATGTATCGAAAAATTTATAACTTACCTTTGTTAGGAATTAGGATGACAATGGGTTCTAAATATGTCTCTGAAATGAGTCTGCCGAGTTTGTTCTCTCTCACTGAACTATGTCTGTGATTTGTAGCATTACTTCATTGTATAATTCCAATAAAATTCTATTTTTATCATAATTGATGTTTGATTATGGTAATTGAATTCGATTGAGTTAAACTTTGTAAATATTTATGTAACAGTCCTGAATAACTATTAGTAAGTTATTATTATATGTTCTTTTACTATCAGTTTCCTCCTTTATAACAAAATTCATAGTTATCCTTGCTAAACGTTGTAAGTTTTGCTCAGTGTGGGCACAGGCATATCAGCTTCCATGGACAGCGAAAGGAAAACTGAAAAAGAAATTGGTGGTGGTGATGGTGGTCCTGCTTTGTTACGAGATAATGAAATTAGTTCTATGCCGACCATGGAAATTGCAAGACAGAATAAAAATCCTACACCATTGATCGATATTACATTGTTTAGAAATGTTGAAACTCAAATGGTAAAATCTTTGAACCTGGACATTCTAGTTACTGTTGAATTTACTTTACCGTTTCCATATAACCTTTTGTGTGCTGTGATAGACAATGGTAGATTGTATTGATGACAATGCCAATGCTGAGAATGATGGTACCCCAGAGTACAATAGTGAGGAGGAACAAGATAGCAGGTTACACGGGGATGATGAAGACGACGACATAGATGACAATTCTGAGCATCCTGGTGAAGTGTCGATTGGTAGAAAGTTGTGGACATTCTTCACGTCATGATATTTCACCCCTTCTTTTGGTACTTTGCTGGAGGAAGGTGTCAGTGTCGGTCTGTTAGTTTACAGTGTATTGAAATTTCATCTGTAGTGTTCTTAGGAATGTTTAATAATCTGCTGCTATTGGTTTCTGCATATCATAGTCGATTATCTATACATTAGAAGTAGATGCACTTGGGATGTATTCATATGCTGTAAACTTATGGCATGTTTGGCCAAGAGGATTGAAGCACAAGATGATAATCTTGTCCAATATACGGTTGAGACTCGATTAGCACCGTGCGCAACAAATGCACTCACTGTAAAACCATCTAATATAGGGTTTCAGCTACATTTCTCTTTCACTTCATACTTTCAATAGTTAATACTGTTCTGGTTTTTATTATCGACGTTTCCATATTTGATTTTTAAAAAGCATTACGATGCAAGACTACGTAGACAGCTTGTGAAATTAAATGCTTTTCTATTTTCCATGTACCCCTTTGATTTCATTCTCTACTAATCTAGTATCATGACGAGGACGGAGTTGATTTATGAATCCAAACCTCACGACCATCTGGTGAAGGAGGAAGTCTAATATCCCACTTCAGATTGTGTCAGCGTTTCGAGTAAAAAAAGATGCAACTTAATTAATTAAATAGAATTTTCTTCGAAATAAGGCAATCTTATATATATTGTGATACAGTTATAGGGGTGTAGAAATGACCGATTTGAGTTGGATCTTGCAACTTGCCTATCGAGGGGGGCTTGGTCCACTCGCATGAGTCCACCGGAAGCTGACTGGATTTATTTATTTTTTTGTTCAGTGTTGTTAAAATTCATGGGAAAAATGTTGGTCGCATCACACACTGTCAACCAAATTGTACCTGTAGCTAGACTGTTTTTTTCCTACTGTGTTCGCTCTACAATTACTCTATATTTAATTTTTGGTGTCCCCTTCTCCACATTTATCATCTTCATTAAAAGCCTGAAAACTTAATTGTATATTACTTCTTGGATTTCTTTTCGTAAATTCTTGTGCCATTAGGCCAGGGAATCACTAATGAGGAAGATAATGTTTCAGTAATGATCTTGAAGCATTACCAACTGAAGTACTCTTTACCAGAATGCTTGTTTTCAACAAGACTGCGCAAAGGGAAAACGCTCCTTATGGTCAATCCAAGGGGCACAACAAACTAGTGAAATCTTTACCTCAAAATTGAACAAATTGATCATCAATAACTTCATCATATTCTTTTCTTATTTTATTCCTAATTTTTTTTTTTTCTTAGTTCTGTATTAGTTAGAAGATTTTTCCAATTCGTTTGATTCGGTCCAAATTCCATGGAAAATGGAAAACATTTTCCAGTTTTCCACTTTTCATGTGTTTGATGTGTCTTTTTTTCTAGGGAATCCATTTTCCACCTATTTTCTAGGTACAACAATGTAATACATGTTTGTTTGATTTTGCTTTCCCATCTATTAGGTGGGAAAACAATTTCCACATTTTTTTTTCTTTTTTCTTTTTTTTTTAAAGAAATGGCAACCAATTCTATCAACCATTGTAAAAAGAATTTTCATTTTTGTTGACAATTTCTATGCAAAATAAAGTCAAACGAATATGGTAATTTTTTCTAATTGTTTAATTTTTTTATTTTTTTTTTTACTTTTTAGTAATTGGAACAAATTCTAGACGTATTGGTAGAAAAAATTATCACTTTAATGGACAATTTTCATAAAAAATGAAGCCAAACGGACACCAAATTTTCAACATTTTTCAGGTAGAAAATTATACCAATCAAACACAATTAATTACAATTCCCAGTAAAACAAATTCTAGACAATTCAATTCCCAGTAAAACATTTTCTTTCCACCCATTTTCCACCTTTGCAATCAAACGGACCTTACAGTTCATTGTAGCCTAATAACATCAAAAGATGTGAGGCATTCTTCTGCTCACAGAACTTTGAATGGCAAGCAACAATAGACCGTTTTGTAGCATCAATTTTTTGTAAGCTAGGGTTTGCGTTTATTTCTAGAAGAGATAATAATAGGAGTTTTTATTGAAGAATCTCTATGAGAGAGAGAGAGAGAGTGAGTGAGTGAGTGAGAGTGTGTGTGTGTGTTCAAATCGTACAAAAAATTTATTAGTAGCATATTAGCTCGAAGACAATGTTAGGTTATTTGTTAACTAAAGAATTAGGGGACTCGAACAGGGACAGACTCAGGAAATTTTTCCAATGCGAACTGTATTAGGAAAAGAAAAAGAACTACTACTTGGCACTTGCAACTTGCAAGTTAAGGTCATAGTGTAAGGCTCACAACGACAATGCAATGCACAACCGCATCAGAATAGAGACAAGTAGAAACAAATGCAAGCCTACAAACAGAAAGGAAAAAAGAATCATACTGAAGAGGGACTACACAGTAGGTCTCTTGGGTTTGGTGCTTTTCTTCTTCAACTCAGACACACAGAAAATGAAAGGCATTTAGAAACCAGGTGAAAAATTGGAAAAACACCCAACACCCAACAGGCCCAACCG